ACAAAATAATAAAGCTATTTACAAATAAAAGACATATTCCTATTAGGCACGAGAGATAAGATAAGAGGGGAGATTGGGAATCAACAAGTAGCTGCTCTTCATTAATAGGACGTAACTTAATCATTACTGATATCCATATAACTTAGATCGCGCATGCCGTATAAAATGCGAGATAAAAAAGACGAGTAAAAATTATTTGAGAAGCATAATAAATTTAAGTATCCTTAAGTATTTATATCTTTACTCATTTAGTATCTCTCATACTCTCTTCATCACTCCTACTTTCAAAAAATATTGATAAACATTTTGCAATATCACTATCACTTATAATAATTAAAAAACATACAAGAGTATATCAATAAAAACAATGTATATAAATAGCTACTACAAAAATAAATAAGATGTTAAAAATTTACTGCAGGTATGCACGCGATAAAAGAAAAATCGCTTCTTAAATTAATATCTAAGAAAGCGGTGAAATATAATATTAAAATTACGAATAAAAAGATAATCAATTAGTTTTGATTGATTAAATTACATCTGATTAGATCATTAGAAAGTAATGCAAAGGAAGAGAAATAAATCAGAAAGCATTGCTTGCGGAAAAAAGAACCCATCGTGAGGAAGAAACTGATTAACTACGAACATTTTCCTTCATTAAACCCTTCCCTTTAATTTTCCCTTGTGCACTTCGGTCTGTTGACCGTGTAACGTTATGCGTCTCGTCTCAATTCCTCCTCGTATTGCGCCGCTCTTCCATTTCTTACCATTTCGCCAAAGAAACAAGAAAGAGACACAGTTGCAACCGCAATTTCACGAGACATCGCGAACACGCAGTGGAAACAGGCGTAAACTCGGGCGTAAACAACGATCTGCACGTAAAAGTGCATAAATCGTGCCGTAATTTACAAGTATTCTAAGTGAACAAAAAATGATATCTATTAATTGTTTTCATAATATGTATGTATGCTGTTTTCTTGTCTTAAGTAATACAAGAAATAATTTAGACAAGCATTAATTACTAAATTTGTCTCGCTAACTAAACCAAAATAAAAGGAAAATAAATTAAAAATAGAAAACGCGCGTTCGAATAATTTATTTAAAACCGACAAAATTTAATAATGTAATTTCTAAGTAAAAAGAATAAAGGGAGATTAGTATTTATTATTGATATTTATATTTTTTTATTTTTTGCCATTGTGAGCCACATTGCGACAAAAAGTCTGCTTTCATTCTCTTTGCGGGAGACACCAAAAATGGATGGATCGTGTGGTAGACGCATGCAACGCGCGAGAGGATTTAGAAAACCAACGTGGCGATCATGCGGCACGATACACATCCAAATTTAGGATCCTGACTTCCTCGACCTCTTCTCGAACGTCTGAAGCTCGTTTTCTGGCGGGGAATGTCGCCCACGCGATTAAAAAATGCTGTTAACTCGCCCAACGAGTTTTATTTATCCTCTGGTATCAAGTTGGATAAGATATTTTTTTAAGCACTCCACATATACGAATATATTTATACTTTTACATAATACGTATCTTATTAAGTCAAAAGAGTCATGAAATAAAATAATACAAATTTATAATTGCTTATTATAAAACTTCACTCCTTTTACAAAGCAAAATTGAAATTTTAGTAAAAGCTTGTGAATCTCCATTTCATCAGAGATTGAATAAATAAAAAATAACAAATTCATATATTTATATGAGCATCCGGACGAGATACGTGGAAATACATAAGAAAAAGTTAATCAGTAAGTTAATTATTCAAATTCCTTCTCAGAGTAAGACGTAATATATATTTATGACAAAACATTTAATTTTATGAGGAATTCGCAGTAAATACTGACGTAAGGTTCCGAAGTTCGCGCACTTGGCTTTAAAGTTTATTTCTAATGCAGCACGATAAACAAATCTTTAGTGCAAAGTTATCGTTTACATTTATAGAAGGAAAATTCGGCGCAAAAGTGACTAAAGAGAATAGTCAGTCCCTCTCTCTCTTCTCTTTTCTTTCCATCTCTCTGCCTATATGCAGAGAGAGAGAGAGAGAGAGAGAGAGAGAGAGAGAAAGAGAGACAATGCTCAGTATCGGTCATTCAACGTAAGAATAAACGAGACGAGAAATATCACAGCGAATGGAACTGAGAACGGCTCAGCGAGCGGAACTAAACGAGAACTGTACATCCTGTAATCTGTTTCAGAAAAAGTTTTGGTGTGCTATAATGTGCCAATCTTCTTGACATCTTGACAACGGCCGCGAGAAAAGAAACCAAACACTAAAGCCGTATTAATTGTACGTAAAATAATAATTCTTTCCCGCCATAAAAACAATTCTATGTCTTCAGAAGTGATGTTTCATCGCATTTACAATAAAGATGCGTTAATTCTATGTATTCACGGCTTAAGTTTGTATAATAGGAATAATTGATTAATTATTCAACTCTACAGTTAAATTATTAATTATACAATTTCTCTCATTTAAATTTGATAGTAAATAATTGAAGAAAAAGAAACTATTTATATATTTACAATACATAATTATATTGTATTTTAAAATAAAATAATATCAAAACAGCATAAGATTGAAATAAAATTTTTATAATTGACTAATTTCAGACTTTAGTCTCTCGCGCGAATAAAGTCGGATAAATTAGCACAGCGAATGGAAGTAAATGGAAGTTACACGCTACGGTCTTTCATAAAAACACTCGCAAGGATCCGCGCTCCGCTCACAGTTTTGAACAAAACACGAATTATAAATCCGATATTTCAAGGCTTATCCTGGACAAACGCGGAAGTTGGTATACACAATGAACGAAGCAAGAGAGTATTTGCTACATTCCGCTTGAATAGCAGCTAAAACGAAATAAGTTTCAACAAAATTTATTTTAAATGAAGCTGGAAGAATTCGTAGAAACGAGCGAAGCTAAACGAGAACCAATATCTTATTGCCTAAGAATGACCTGAAGAATAATCAACGTACTTTGTATATATACATATATAAAACTTGTTTAAGCAGATACATAATCGAATACCGTTATACATAATTATACATAGTTACGCGTACATAGATAATAAGTAAGTAAAGTAAGTTTCAACCGATAGTACCGCAAATATCATGTCTTACACATTGTAACTTTTTATTTAAAAACGTTCTGAAAATATTTAATCGAGAACACAAAATATATAAATAAAATAAAATAGAAAAGATAATTAAAATAAACTCATTAAAATGCGTCTTTTAATTTTCTACTTTTTTATCTATCCCTTTTTTGTTATTATTTCCTCTAAAATTGTCGTATTTAAATTATATTACTTTTTCATACGTGGAATACACTAAAGAGCAAAACTGTGAAACTATGTTAGGTCTTCCGCAATCTACATTTATAGATACCAGTTATAACGTTCAGTTGAACCATTGCAATCGGTTCGCGAACGGTACATCCTGCCATGTACTCCCACTCCGTTTCTGCGTATCTCGAAAAACGCTGCGTGCCCGTTGTATGTTATGCCGTAAGCGAGCATACAAATCCTACAACGATTGGAAAAGAAAATCCTCGCAAACAATAAGATTGCCACGTTATACGCTAAAAGACGTTTAAGACGAGGACGTAGTTTTGTGAGATTTACTCGTCTGATTTACTTATCCTGGCAACCGAAGACTCGTTCTTAAATAAAAGCTATCAAATGTTGGTTAAATCGCTCAAAATAATGTTCCATGTCATCCATATTTGGCATAAAAAATTTGACATTATTAACATTACTACATTCTCATTGCCATTTGATCGTATCGTATTTAAATATTATTTATTTGACTTAAATTAAAAAACAAACATCTTATTTTATTTATGTCTTTGTAACGGTCTAACAGCTTTTAGAGCGTTACAAAATACATTCAAGGTCCAGTTTGCTTAACTTGTGATTAGGCATAATCTGACACTAATGTAAAAAATGCATTTTTCTAGCTATGGTTAACGATTAAACTAATGGTTTTGTAGTAAATAACTTTCAAAGATACTACAAAACCATTAGTGATTAATCATAGTTGAAAAAACAATTTTTATCATCAAGTTAAGTGAGGTTGAATCAAAGCAATATGAGTTAACCAAATAATGAAAAACCGGATCCAAGTGTGACCAAATCTAACACGAAACATTTTGTTTTACCTTCTCGTTTTTATTTCTATATTTATTACACTTTTAAAAGCTGCTCAAAATATGACCGTCTCTACATCCATGTTTGACATATTTGACACTGTTATCATTACCATATTCTCATTTCCATTTGATGTATTGTATTTAAATATTATTCGATTTGAATTAAAAACAAACATGAATTTATGTCTTCGTAACGGTTAGTAACAGCTTTTCAAGCGTACTAGTGCATATAACAGAATTCACTACAATGTAGAATATTCTTCGCATCCTTGTGACATGGTGGGGAACCATCTCGCAGCCTTTTATGCATCAAGCGTACTTCGTCGCGAAAACGATGCGGAGTGCAACAAGTGGATTTCTCGAGTTCTTTCCAATTTTATCCAATTTCCTTTAAAACTGTTATACATATATGTATATTTATTTATTTTTAGTTACAGTTTAGAGTTTTAATTAAAACTGAATCAAACTGAACGAAAGATATCGAGGCGCAACAAGTAGACAACTCCCTTTGGCGAGTACGGAGCGTTCCACGACGTTAAACACGCGTGCATTACGCACTCACGCATGCACGCATGCACGCACGCACGCACGCACGTCGAGGAAGGCCATCGATTGGCAACGGCGCGAAGGCCGCCACTGGGCCGAGCCCTACTCAATGGGGCCGAACGAGAACGGTACATCTCTCCCGCTCTCTCCTAGAGAGCGGCACTCCTTTTGGAGCTGAGAATTCGAAAAGAATTCCAATTCCTCCAGGATTTCCTCTAGAATTTTCTCGAACTATCGAGAAAAACTCGCTGGTTCTTCCAGACGGATGAAAGATAACCGGCCTAACTCTACGTACCTTGTCGAGGCACTTGAGCTCCTCGATCGGGTAGACCGTCTTCTCGCAGCGAGCACACGTCTTGCTCATCTTTATCTCCTCTTCCTTCTCGGCTACGGTCCTCTGCCGCCGCTATCCTCTTCTCGCCTCCGCGTTCACCGTCACTCACGCGCACTCAGGCTACTGATATCTGCACGCGGTCTCGGTAATACTTTACTTACGTTTTTCGAGACACACCGGATTAAGAGCACGCACGCCCGCACGACACACGACGCACGCACGCACGCTTGTATGTACGCACACACTACAGAGACGACGGATCTCGGTACTGCACGTGCGTGACGTATATACACACTAGCGACACATCCGACCGACCGTCGTCTTTGCTGGACGACTCACGACTTGCCTCGGACAGCTGCTGGCGCCAGTTCGCTCGCGAAAATCCGGCGGGAAAAACCAGCCACCGATGACTCCGATCGTATATCTTTTCGTGACTGGCGAGTAGCGACTCGACGGCGTTCCGCGTTGGACTCTCGTTCGCGTCCCGTTCTGCGTCCCTGCCTCGCTTCCTCTCTCACTCTTTCTTCTCTCTCTCTCTCTCTCTCTCTTCTCCCGACTCGTGCGAGACTCACGGAAACGGCAGCAAGTAAATCCTCGAACTTACCACAGTCGCACCGAACCGCACTGCCCTCTCGTCCTCGTCTAATTACAAAAAAGAGCCGTCAAATAACACCGACGATAGTACTGGGTAGGATGAACACTACTACGCTAGTCAACGCGACGACTCGCCGCGCACGGTGAATGCGTGCGTCACGTGGTACAGTCCTGTCACGTGCGATTGGCGAATCGCGAGCGGGACTCAGGACCGGCTATATAATTGAGAAAACTTTGTAATTGAAAAAACTTCCTTCTATTTTTGTATATGATACTGATTCCATTCAAAACGCAAAAAGAAGCAAAAATTATGTCAATTTTGACGATATTTACACCGAAAATGTAATCCTGAAGAGCACCAAAGCGATAAAGAAACTTTCAAAAGTATAAAATATTCTTTTCTCCATTCCTGGATTGCATGGATAAAATAAAATGTTCGTTTATACACTTATTGAAAAAGCTAACGTTTCAAAAAGATAGTTACTGTAATAATTAATATTAAATATGAAAAAGTAACAATTAATACGTATGTTAATAATATTAGAGGAGCCAATAATTAATAAATCTAATTTTTGACCTTATTTTAATTAACGCTATTAATCTTAGAAACATTTTGCTGTATAAAAGAAATAAGCTGTAATAAATGTAATAAAGTTAGATTTGCGTACTACGCTAGTCAACGGTTTAGCGACGTTAAATATCTTCATTTTACGAATTTGTTTATTTTTGTTATTCTCATTAACAGACGCAATGTGATGAAGTTGCATATATGATACAATTGTTCAATAAACAAAATAAAACATAAATTGTATAGATAATGAATAAGGTTATCATTGCTACTCACGACGTACACGTTATAAAACTGCAACGTAATGAACTGTTAGATCCACGAGGACGTTGATAATATAGCGTTCTAACATACCGATTTATAACAATACCTATAAATTAAGGGGATCCTAAAGCCGTCTGTATTACCGACTAAATCGTAATTTTTGTATAACAAATACTTTTTTCCTCTTTCACAGATTAAAAAATCCTTTTTTAGGATTAAAGTATACACATTAATACATGTTTGTGAGGTGGAATTTATGCCGAGAACGATAAAAAATTTTTCTTAAGATTTCAATTTCGAAATTTTTGCCGTTTTCGGCATAAATTCTACCTCATAAACACGTATTAATGTGTATACTTTAATCCTAGAAAAGGATTTTTGAATCTGTGAAAGAGGAAAAAAGTATTTGTTATACAAAAATTACGATTTAGTCGGTAATACAGATGGCTTTAGGATCTCCTTAATAACATAGTAGTTCTTCGACGCGAAATTAACTTGAATCAAAAGTTGCAGTTAATTGTCGGTAAATACATTCTAATTGTTTGAATTATATCTTATCGCTTTATAAATATATTATTTATGCACTAACAACCACTGAGAGGTAATTTACTTATATTTGATTTATTCTTGGAATCACAAAACCATTTTTATTTTAATTTTTAAATGTATTTTATTAAAGCTCATACAAAAAGTTACAGTTTACAGAAATTATTTATTATCTTTATAAAAAACATAAATAAAACATAAATAAAAAAATAACCTTAAATTTAAATATCTGCTGTATTATAAATACGTAATATTATTTTTTTAAATTGTACTTTGCTTCTTTGTTTTCTAACATATTTAAAAAATTACATATAAAAACATGTATGCATGTATATATATGTGACATGTGTAAATATGTATATGAATACATTGAATTACAATTAGATTCTTATAGGTTTGCTACGCCTATAAAATCGACTATTGTCTATTTTTTGTAGTGTAATTTAATTTTAATCTCGGTTCAATTAACTTTTCATCTTTTTCTAGTTCTAAGAATTAAAAAAAAAAAAATGAAGAGAAAGAACTGAGGTTAAAGTTAATAATTGGTAAACATTGGTAAAATCGGGCAAGAATCAGTTAATTCTGCAGAACAGACTATTAATCTATCGACTAGTGCCCTCTACAGGTATAGAACGCGAACGAATAATGCAGTATATTTGTAATTGCACACTAAAAGAAACGATTGGCTGCTGCAGCAAATTAGATGGTAAAATATGGCATAGATTTTTAATTGGTTGCAGCAGCCAATCGAAATCCTATACTGATATTGGGAATATGTTAACGCAATCAAAAATTGGCTGCTGCAACCAAAAATTGGCTGCTGCAGCCAATTAAAAATGCTATTTGAAAGTGTATTGAATAAAGAACAAAAAACATTAATTTTTATAAATGATAATATACCAAATATACCAAATAATGTATCAAATAATATACCAAATATACCAAATATTTTGTAAATAATAGTTATACTAAATAAAAATCGTTTACTTCACTCGATATAATAAAAACATTTAATAAGGCTTAGGTCGGTATTCATAGTTAGTTCTTATATTCAAGATCATCTCAAGTTCAGCCTTGAGGTGTTACGAATCAATAAGAGAGCCACATTAGCGTATTAAGACATTACTTAAGACGATCTTGAAATAAGAATCGACTATGAATACCGGCCTTTAGTATAAATTTTCAAATCTTTTCAATTTTTACCTTTAAAGAATTGATAGATTACGCTGAAATCCTTATTTGAGAATCCTTGAGTGATGACCGTTGTATAAATCTGATGCGCCAGGGAACCGAGAGGAATCGGAGCTTGCGTTCTAGTCGCGATGGATTGTGCCAATCCCAGATCTTTGGCCATCAATGTTGTGCCGAAACCGCCCTACATGCATATACTTGTTATTTGCTTTGAAAGCTGGTATTTATAACTGTTTGTTATATTTAAAACTATCTTAAGTATAATCTTGAGATATTATAAATCAATTAGATATCCACACACAGATTTACTTAAAATATTATTTAAGAGGGTATTCTGGTTTGTCGAGTCAAAAAAATCGATTTTTCTTTTATTGCATTTTTGGAAAGTTGATAGTCTTGAAAATATGTTACCAAAGTCATTCACAGAAATAATGTATTATAAAATAATTGAATTATTCATTGTTTACTATTATAAATCGTAAATGTGTAGTTGAAACTTTAAACGTATTTTTCTCAAAACAGCATTTTTCAACCGGTTTTATTGATATATCTTGGCAACTAAGCGTGCGATCAACTTGAATTTTTGCATATTCATTTAGTACATGTTCTTTTATTACTGGGTGAAAATCCAGTATTATTTATGGGTGAAAATCAATACCATTTTTCAAAACATTACCGTTTCAACAATTTTCGATTTTTTCCTTATATTCTGGTTCCTTATATTCTAGTAATAGTGTAACTCTTATAATTTAATAATTTCTTAGGTTTTTTTGTTTCAGGACTACTAGAACTAACGGAATAATGTCAATGCGTCAAAAAGAAATTTTTTCATACGTCTTGCGTACCACCGTGTATCTTTTTTTTGTATGATACATATGGACACGAAGAAATATTTTTAAATATCTATTTTGTATAAATAAAAAGTTTCAAAAAGTTTTATATTAACATATTAATTCATTTCTTTTAAAAAATTCCTAAATAATTATGTAATTTTTAGCCTTACAAACCAGAATACTCCCTTAAGACGCGCGCGGTCTTGTATATAAATGCGTATATTGCATATATTTGTTATTTGCTTCGTAAGCTGGTATTTATAAATGTTTGTTATATTTAAGACCATCTTAAGTACAATCTTAAGATATTATAAATCAATCAGACAGCCACACACAGATTTGCGTCTTAAAATATTACTTAAGACGCGCGGGTCTTGTAATAAGAACGGTATATAACTGATATTTTCATAATCCATTTTTATTTCAAGACCGTTCTGAAGAAGTATGTGAAGATGTTAATATGGTTGTCTGATTGATTCATAACACGCAAGACATAAGATAGTCTTGTATAAAAAATGCCTGTGAACACACCGGTCTATCATTAGCTTATATGTATATGGCATCTTAAGACTTATATATTTAAGATGGTCTTAACCCTCTTTCGGCAATGTGAAATTTTCACACTTTGTCCTCAACCTGAGTCTTTAAATTTCCATACAAATTTTTATATTGTTCCGGAATATGTAAAAATCTGAAAAAAATTCTTACATAATATTTGTGATTTTTTTTAACTTTAACAAGTTTTTATCATAAAAATTTGATTATATTTTAATTATTACGAACGAAAAATCAACCAAGCCTTTAAAGTTTAATATTGCCGGTGGAAAGTTAAATATAAAAACCGATTATGAATATCGACTATAATCACACAGAAAAAAAATTTGCAGATTTTAAATATTTACTCCAATAGTACTAACGAAATATTTATTTATAGTAAATAATTATTTATTCAAAATAAGACAGTTACTTTTAAATCGAATAAATATCTGTACATATATTAAAATTTGCAAATTTTTTTTTCAGTACATATATTATTCGTTTCATACTACCTTTTCATACTAATTAGTATGAATAAAATTAATTATGAATAATAATAAATTCGAATAAATACGACAACTATATCCTCTTACATATATAAAATTATTCGTTTCAAATAAATTATAACATACATTCTACAATGAGTCGCTTAAGCTTTAAGCCGTAAGGCATTGACCAGTCACAGTCGAATATGATAAGAATATGATTGTCAATTTCTTACGACTTAAAGCCTAAAGCTTATAGATATAATAGATTACCGCACACACTTTCCGTAATCGTAAAAATTAGCCAAAAATCAGAGCTGAAAATTTTTTACAATTCTTAACTGTGCTTGACTAATTCTTACGGTACATCTTGCGATTACGGTTACGGGAAGTGTATGGGATGGTCCTAATGACTTATAAAAAGGCCGTTAGACTTTTCTGAATAAATTATATGAGCTATCAATTTTATAATCGAAAATTTTGCAATGTTATAATTCCTCCGGTTCTCGAATTCTGCTTCAATGAATCTGCAATGTAAGGAGAAAACCAGATCACGCAAAAGCATTCTGCACTCAATTACCTCATAATTCTTCGAACTAGGAACATTAGGCAGAATTCCCGGAACTGGATTATAAAGATCAGAAGACCAGCATCTGCCCGTGCTAGAGTTTACAACGTTCGCCAATATCTTGGCATCTAAGCCTAGCCTAAAATAAATCACGTATATTAAACTACTGACGCGTAAAAAAAAATAAATATGTGCGTGAGTTTGCACGTGTATCCTATTCGTATCTTACTTCTGCCCAAGGTTGAATGCCTCAGCAGTGCCGATCATACTAATGGCTAATAACATATTGTTACACAACTTAGCCGCTTGTCCCATGCCTACGTCACCGCAATGTACTATTTTAGATCCCAGAGCTTCAAGAATGGGTTTCGCATCATTAAAATCCATTTCCGTACCGCCTACCATAAATGTCAAAGTGCCATCCTTGGCTGCGTTTACGCCTATTAACATAATTTAATAAACATTTCTTATTTTAGTTGACGATTTATTCGAACATAATTTATATCTACATTTAATTATAGATCTATGTAATACTGAATTGATATTTTACATTTTTCATGAATGTTAAAACAAACCTCCCGAAACAGGACTATCAATAAATCTCAAATTACGTTTCCGAGCCTGTAATGCAATCAATTGAGACACTGATGGATCCACGGTACTGCTATCGATTAATAGAACATTCTTTTGTGCTGTACTAAAAAAAACAAATCAGCAAAACGTAAATTGCAATTTATTTATTTGACAAATCAATTTTAGACTTTAGCATTTGAAAAAAGTGCTGACTTTTAAAATTCATTTTCTTTTACCTAAGCACGCCATTCTTGCTAGTATAGACATCAAGGACATGCTGATTTGAAGGTAACATCGAGATGATAACATTAGTTTCTCTCGATATTTCAGTGACATTTGAAACACAACTCGCTCCCGCTTCTGCTAAATTCGTCATCACCGATTCATTTATATCATATACAGTGAGTTTATAACCCTAAAAGAAAAAACTTTTATTGATGAGGATCGTTTAATTGAAAGAGACAGTGATTCATTAATAGCGATTTCGGCTGGGATGCACTAGTGCACATATAGCTCATACACAATTGCCGTAAAAATATATTAAAAACAGGTTAAATCATACAATCTTCAATACATTTTATTGTACTGTTAATAAAACATGTATTTCATAATTTGCAATTTGTTTTTGTACTCATAGTGATTTCGGCTGGGACGTACCGACTGCATATTTCAGGTATTCTTTCGTACAGGCCATTTTATGAGACGCTGAAAAACAGCATGAGTGTGATCACGTGATATCAATGTTGACACTAGCGTCTCTACATATGTATATAGCACTACATATTTTTCATTTATTTTCATTGTCTAGTGTCAATTTTGATCATATATTATATTTTGACGCTGAAAATGAGCATCGAGCATCAGCATGAAAAGCATCTTATTCACGTTATAATGAATGATTTATATGTGCTCATGAAATTGTTAACATCATCGTCATCAAGTGCGATGATGAATTAATATACCTGATAGAACGTAAAAAAAACGAACAAATGTTAAAAGTTAAAATTACATTGAAGAGGTTGTGCGGAAAACGTACGTTCAATAAAATAGTTCAGTTTTGCAAGTTAGATCAACTATAATAATGTGATTTATTGCATAGAAAATGTTTATTTAGAGTTTCGAACTCATTTCCGAATGTCGCGAGAGACGTACTACGAAATAATAGAGAAATTCGAAAGATCAACATTTTACAGTATAAAACGGTTTTAATATGCACCAGTGCACACCAGTGTGTTACTAGCCGAAATCGCTATAAATTTAAATCAGTTATTACCTTCTTCAGCAGGTTTATCGCCATGTGACCGCCCATATTGCCCAATCCGATGAATCCGATTTTTGAATAGTATCTTGTTCCTAAACCCATAAAACATATTAATGTTAAACACATCTGCTTTGTAAAAAATAAGAAATTTATACGTTTTAATATGTAAGTTATGTTTAATCATTGCGATTTAGTAATTTCACAGCAGTAAGGACAGTCACACAGATTTTTCGTAACAATAATATGTAAGACGCACCGTATAATAATTAGCCAATCAGCTGAAAATTTTTGATAATTTTTTACTGTAATTGGCTAATTCTTACGCTGCGTCTTATGGTCATGGTTACGGAAAGAATATGTGCGGTGGTTCTACAATACTGAGATCGAGCTAGCGCCTATATTATTATTATGCATAAATGAGGATCTCATCATTTTAAGGGGATCCTAAAGCCGTTTGTATTACCAACTAAATCATAATCTTTGTAACAAATAACAAATACTTTTTTTCTCTTTCACAGATTCGAAAATCCACAAAAAATTTCGAAATTGAAATCTTAAGAAAAATTTTTTATCATTCTCGGGGGGCATAAACTCTACCTCACAAACACGTATTAATGTGTATACTTTAATCCTGAAAAAAGATTTTCGAATCTGTGAAAGAGAAAAAAGTATTTGTTATACAAAAATTATGATTTAGTCGGTAATACAAACGGCTTTAGGATCCTCTTAAATGCTAAAATGTTTTATCTGATCATTCAATGTCTGTGAAATTTGTATTTATATAAATATGAAATCCCAGGAAAAAAATCAGGAAGCCTTTAAAGTCTATTTTGACTTCAAATTATGGCACAAAATTATACGCACACACGCGCGCGCGCGCACACACACCCTGGTGAAAATAACAATCGGAGCGTAAGTCGAATGTAATGGGAGAGTAATAGAAGCATAAACGAAACTTCTAGCAGGCGAAAATTGAAACAACGGAACGTAAAAGAGGTATTTACGCTTCTTGTACGTTCCGTTGTTTCAATTTTCGCCTCCTAGAAGCTACGTTTACGTTTCTATTAAGGTAAATTTTCACGAGCTACTTAAACAGATTGTTTCAGCGACAAAAAGGATTACGTGGTCAAAATTGACGAATATCAAGCGTCTATTTTGATCACGTGATCCTTTTTGTCGCTGAAGCCGGTTTGAGCAGCTCGTGAAAATTTACCTGTACTCTCCCATTACATTCGACTTAAGCCCATTCTACATGAGACGCAGAACGCAGGTCGCAAAACTAGGAACCAACCTAACGTATTTTAATCATCGTATGCTTGTAGGACGTAGAACGCGGGACGCAGAAAGTTGAAGTTCACCCATTTTGTTATACAAGAGCATTATATGACTAAAATACTGATATTTACACGTTAATTTCAATCTTTCAATACCATATTCATTGAATTTAACCACTAAAACAAGGTTAGTTAGATCACATAATAAAGATTAGCTAGGTTAGAATCTCACATTTAATTCACTGATTACCACACAGTGGCATTTTACTTGGCACTGATATCAATGATTATATTATATATCCACTAATTCAGATTTAGAGAGAACAGATTTGTTTTATAATAATTTTATACAGCAAAAATGATCATATTTTGTTGCAATTTTAGGTCAATAATTTTTAAACTAGTTAGTGGATCTAAATAAACTTTTACATGAATATTTACTATTGTTTTATTAATATACGTATAAAATTTTATTTATTTTTTAATATTACTTGCTTATCAAATTTTCAAATAAGTAAAACGCGATTTTACATAAGAATTAAGACCAACAGAAAAAAATTTTTAATTAATGAAAGAATTGTGCTCAAATTTTACATAGATACCTAAACGTAATAATAGAACAATCTATAAAATTGTTAAATTCTTAATATTTTAAAAGTAGATACTAAACAACTTTAATTAGTAACAAAGAAAACACAATTCACTTTAAAGAATAAAAAATGTTTTTTAAATATTCTTTCATAACATATGTATATAAGAATAAAAATATTCTTCAATAAAGAAAAATATTCCTTAATAAACCATTTTTTTAAATATTCTTTCGTCACATATATATAAGAACACATTATCATTTCTCACTAGGTTATGCATAATAATAATCGTATTAGAATCATTTCAATGAATTGATTTGGAATAAGTGTTAAAAAAAATTAAATAAGTAAAAATATTACCTGCTATCATGCTGATAGATAATTTTGTAAGTACTGTGAAAACACTCATCTTGGATACTTTACGAAAATAATGAATTATGAAAATCCACAAATAAATGTCATGTCATGAGCAAAGAACATACTAATATTTATGTCGATCAATTTATGTCGGACGAATGAAAACTTGTTTCGAGACACGCAATCAACTGCTCATTAGCATGCGTTTGTGTGTGTTAAAGAATTGTTATAAGATAAATCTTTCGCAGAGAAAAACAGAAATATTTTGTAGAAGAACACTGTCGATAACACGAAAACACGACTGTAGCAACGTCTTATCTATGAGTTAGCATAAAAATACATTACGTAACTTGAAAAGAATGGATAATGAATGACGCTTTAAAGGCGGGTAATTCGAATGAATTCTTCATAATTTGCTCATCCATCATTCTCTCATTAAAAAGACAAATTACTTCAGGAAATAAACTTCTCTCTATCCCCATGAAATAATAATCATAATATATTTTTTGTATTAATTACTTTAAAATAAAAATTATAATTAAAAGAATAATTAACAAATTAATTTTTCCCATGATTATTACAGGCTACTTATTTGAAGCTCGTGAAACTTCCTACTGGTATCTTTTTTTGCAAATCGTAAATTCACGGCCATTAGTCAGTAGAGATTATTTTGATCATAGAGCGATTAATAGCGCTCGCGATAACGAATATTAATATTCCAGCAGTATGTCATTATTATTTACGATGCGAGTATAAATACGTCAAAATATAAATAATCGTTATTATTGTCACGTCTGCATATTTCTATTCAGCTGTTTTCCTTTCTGTTAGAAGTATTCATTAATACCTTGCGTATTTTATTTTTTATTATTATAAATGACTGTTCTGTAACATACTAGGGAGTTATTAACATTGTTTTATAATTTCTCTTCTTTTATAATTTATAAAATGCGACGGCATTAAATGAATTCTTTTGTCAATAGAGTATTACGATAATAAAAATATGTCTCTGCAAGTTGCAATCTGATGACAATCAAACACAAATCTATTTAAAATATCAAATATTTCCGTTGAATATTTAATTAAGTGCTATTAGAATTAATTATGTGAATGTTATTAATAATGTTAATTAATTAATTTTATATAATTAATTTAATTAATTTTGACATTTTTAAATTAATTATTAAACAATTATCTAGAAGAAAATTGTCTTTCAATATCATTGATATTGTTATAATAAGTAACTACGCAGGTAACTTATTTTACCGAAATTTAACAACATGTAAATGTATTATTGTAAATGTTTGAAATTAAAAATATTTGTGAGAGTAATGTTGATGCATATTTTGTTGAATATCATATTTTACTGCTATACGTAAATGCTGAACATCAAGTATCTTTATGTAGATCAGTAGAACCAAGGACATTTCGCAATTTGTTAGACAACCCTTGTTTTATCAAGATATAATGAATTCACTATATATTTAGCTTCGTTACTGTCGTTACGAGGTACGCTATCAGTAAATTTTTTATAGATCACTAATTAAACGTCATAAGCAACGTTGCAGCCGATAATTGAACAAATGTTTCTTTATCCACCGCGTAATTACACTTATATCAGCTATGTTGGTCTAGCTACATGTTTATTCAGAGATCGCCATCGAGGTAGTTATCTGCTGTCAAATTACACCCCCCGAGTGTCTCATATGTACGCAATGCTATAACGTGAACAGCATGTATAAGTACGTTCGTACAGACATCATCTCACATGCAATTTCATTTCAGGTAATCTATTAAGTCGACTTTTATTCTCATGTCAGACTTACTCGTGTTAAGTATTACTAGTTGTTGAGTGTAATATTATTTGTAAAAACTGAGAGGAACTTGTGGTATATATAACGATAATCAAGTAAGTTGGCTTATTTTGATAATTAATTAATTAATGATTTAGTTTTAATTAAGTATATTTAAACCAATTTAATATCAATTCATTAATAACACTACTTAACATTCTAGTAAGTAAAAGAATTAGTTATACTTATCCTTGTTAAAAAGGTTAACTTGAATCTTATTAAAAAAGCTTTTATATAATACGTTGATACGTCATTAACAGTGCATTTCGTAATTTCAGAGAAATTAAATAAGCAATATTGTAAACAAATTGAAAATTAAAACGTAGTATACATACAACAATCATTTAATGATTTAGTTTTAATTAAGTATATTTAAACCAATTTAATATCAATTCATTAATAACACTACTTAACATTCTAGTAAGTAAAAGAATTAGTTATACAAATTTACGAGGTACTTTTAACTTCTGCGTTGATACTTCAAAACATGCATAATTGTTTATTGATTTATACCATTATTAATACCATGATTTATACTATGATTAATTATCGTTAAAGGATTATCATTAAAAAATATTTGTTGAAGATTGCATTGTTAAATTCTAACAATTTTTTTACAATGACTTAATTATCATGAAAGTGAACTCAATGTTTGGCGTTTTATTACTCATCATTATTCCGGTGTTAACTGACAAGAGAAATATCATGAAGAATTCCAAAACGGAATCCTGGATTTCTACAGAAAATTTTACGACAATGATCAAGAAATCATTTCTTTACTCCAAATGTTGCAATATTTTTTTAAGTGGTTCGTATTTCTATTATTTCACAAAAATAATGTGCAGCCTATAAAGTAAATTATCTTTCAGAATCGATTTATGATGTGGACACATTACTTCATCAATTTATCAATATTTATCCGCGCGAATATGTTTTACACCAAAGACTCTATAATTGTCAAGGATATTTCTTATTGGGACCAACGGATGGAGAAATAGAAAACGCTATGCGAGTGTAAAATAAAACACAGATATATTCATATAGATTTATATATATGTATATATAAATCTTAATCTTTTTTATGATAATAATACAGAAAAAATACAATTAAATTTAATAATATATATAAAATGTAGAATATAAAAATGAAAGATCAATATATGAAATAATACATGCGACTAGTAAAAATATCATATAATATTACTCTAAAATTTATGTAAGTATATATATCGTATTAAATGTAAGTTATATTTTTCGGCAGTGTACCTTCGTCCATTTCAACAACAGAAATTCTTATTATCATCAATGGTGAATTAAAAAATACTTCAAAGCTTTTTGATGTCTCTTTATTTGGAAATTCCAACGCAAATATTGTTTCAAGATCCGGAATTTGGACTTTGTCAGAAAATTATTTGAAACCCAGATTTTTTTTTAAAGTACATAGGTAGACAATTTTTATAATCATTTTATATATTTATAATAAAACTATCAATTTATTTTGTTAATATTATTCTACTTTTTTACATTAATAAAATGTATGTAAACGAATATATTATATGCTTTGAATATATATCATAGTTACGAAGAATTGATGTCTGAATTCAATATCGTTAATATGAAAGGTAGAGAATTGCAAGTATGTACTTTTCATCAGCCGCCTTTTTCCTATCTTAATAAAACAATAAAAAAAGTAATTGACGGCATGGAAGAAGATGTTTTCCTAGCAGATAGCGGTGAATAAAATTATTTAAACTCAAAATTAATCTCATCTGCTTTATTATTTCAACAATCTTTGAGATGACTTTTATATATATATATATATATGTAGTGTATATAATATGTAGTGTTGTTAGATAAATTTGAAAAAATCACGAAAAACTAAACGTTATAAAAATAAAGTGATACGATAATATGTTTACATGTTTTACAGATAATGAAAAGGATGGAATAGAAATGAAAATATTTTTAGTTATGGCGGAGAAATTAAATTTTACTTGGACAATACGAAAGCTGAAAGGAAAATACAGGTAACTTAACGTATTCGTTATATTAATACAAATATTAATCTTAGAAATGAACTAATTTTTAGATATGGTCGACGCATAAATAATACAGAGTGGCATGGCGGCGTCATTCAACTCGTACTAGAGAAAAAGGTATAATAATTCGAATTAAAGTAATGTAAATTCTAATAAAGTAACACTGTCGAAACATTGTGAACTTTCATTATAAAAACTGTAATAATATTTATTCAAGTTTATAATTATGATATTACTTGAAATTTGTTTTTAATATATTCTAAACATTTCTCATATTTTAAATGTAAAAGAAAAAATGCTCCAAATAGAAATCTTCTTTCGCCTAAAAAATTAAATATTCTTTTAAATTCAAATAAAATATAATAGAATAATTTAAAATAATTTCTGCTCTTACATAAAGGTTGATTTAGCATTTGGAAATGTCCGGTTAACGCCGAATCACTACCAATTCGTGAATATGTCCACACCGTGGGTCCAAATGTTAACGCAATTTTTGGTACCGCGACCACAACCAATCACCAATTTCTGGGCGCTCATGAGACCTTTCTCGATGGGCAGTTGGATACTTGTGTTAATTATGTTGATTGCTAAGAGCATGTATATGTATATACGAGCTAGAGTCGATCCACAATTTCCGAAACGTAAGTTAAAAATGTCGTTTACACTGACGATCAAAAACAAAGCATGTCATTTAAATGTTTTTATAAATGCAAACTTTCTAAATGTGCAATCAATTTGATTAACCAATCACAATTATTGCTTTCAAGTGCTTCATGCACATGTTTAAGATAAGATTTAAAAAGTTTTTACAACTATAACTCATATGATAATATAAAATAATTATTAATATAGCTCAATCAGAATAAATCAATAAATAAAAGTAGGGCTACGAACCAATTACAATATAAAGAATATTTAATAATCATACATACAAACGTTTCGACACCGATCGGGTCATTTTCAATGTAAACACAAACATTATTACATAAATTATCGGAATATTCGGTTAAATTATAAAGTCCAGTAAAACGTCGATTATTTCGTATTCGCTATATGCGGTCCATATGTAAAAGTATCATATGGTAAAGGTGATCTCATCTAACTTTTCAAAATTCTACAATCTTACAAATAATTCCAAATAATAACTTGACATTGCGTTACAGTTTTAAATTATCAAGTATGTATATTTTATATATAGTAATTTAGTACCACACAATTAAGTTATATACATAAATATACTTTAATTTGTCGTAATGATGTAAGTCAGACGCCGAGAGGAAAACGTAAAATTAACTAACAGTTATATACAGGGTGGACCAAAAGTCTGGATACACCCAAATATCTCATAAACGATACATTTTAGAAAAAAATGTTTCAAACAAAAGTTGTAAAGCTTAAAAAGACGCATTTAACGATAATAGTTATTTGACCTAGAATAGGTCACTTAATAGATCACTCAGAACCTTAACGTGACCTTGGCGTTATCAAGGTCACATCAAGGTCAACTTAATTTTTTTAAACCACCTTTTTAATCACCTACTTTTTATTTCAGATTCTTGTAGGTTATGTTGAGACATTTTCAAAAAACATATAAATTCTTTTCCGATGAGAACTTCCTGAGTTATGAGTCTTTAAAGTTTAAATACCGCCGGCATTAGAATTATCCAAAATGTACCGCGTTGCTCGGTCGGATTTACATCTCTTGTGTGCGTGAGTGCACGTGTGCGCGCGCGCGTGCGCATGACAATGAGCTAATCGGTAATAAAAAGTACTACAAACGTTTTCCAACGTTTCAGGCCTAATTAATGCCACTTCGGTAATAATTCGGTGTCGTAACTCATTTAAATTTCGAGGTTTAGTTTTGTAGACTGGTCAAGCTGTACAAGGTCAACAGTTCGAACATTTATTATAACGCAAACTCATGTTCATTTGTTTCTACTTGCTAATTCACTCACACACCCGCTCGCTCACTCACTCGCTCAATCGTTCGATCACTCTCTCAATTGCTCGATCACTCACTCATTCCCTCACTCACTCGACCATTTACTCACCCACTCGTTTGCTCGCTCGCTCAATTATTTACACGCGCAACAAACACACACACACGTATAACGGAGAAGGTTGGAGTCAAAAAATACTAGAGGAGTGACGAACTCTAGGATCCTGATCTGCGTCATACACGCGCACGCACGCACGCACTCATACAATTCACATAAGGTATTGTGAAAAATTTTTCCGTTATTTTTTTGTTAACCGTTCCACTGTCAAAATTAATGTGGAATTTTAATCTTTTTTGTATAGAAGTAAAGATAAATTCCAGTGGATAACTATTACTTAAAAAGATATTTATTGCCTTAATCAAATTATTTTGTTGAAAACGAGGATGACACAATCGTATAATTTTGTCAACAAACCCGTATACTACACCTTTCTTGTGACAAAGTGGATGGTGTGAATTAAAATTCAGAAATCTGCCAGAAAAAGTCGCCTTACGATACACGTCAAAAACTAACATCTGCTCCTCCACAATCGACATAGTATCTAAGAAGCTTAATTTTCCATCCGTGCCAACTTCCATAGTGAATTGTAATCTACCATGTAATGAGTTAAAAATTTTTTAAATGTCATTAATGCTCTCTGATGGAGCAGCTAAAATAATGTCATCCACATATCGAAAATAGAATAACAGTTTAACTGGTAATTTTTCAATTGCTATTCTTTCCAAATCCTGCATAACCATATCAGCTGCGATTGAAGACAAACGTGACCCCATAGGAATACCAAAAATTTGTTTATAAAATTTATTATTAAACATAAAAAAAGTAGAGTTTAAAACCATACGAACAGCAATTAAAAACTCCTTCAAGGGTATATCAGTTTTCATGGATATACATTCCCATCTTTTTGTAATACAATCAGACACCAGTTCCACGGGAACATTTGTAAACAAGGAAATGACATCCAATGTCATATGATAATGTTTGTGTGACATAAAAAGTTATATACTTTATTCAACAGTTCTTTTCTTTATCTGCAACTTTTCTATTTTTATAAAACAATAAAACAATAATAAACTTTCAATTTTATAGTTGCACGCTATGATATAATACTGTTTAGGTAAAATATATGATTTGTAAAAAAGCAAAATGTAATTGAAATATATTCTCTTAGGTTTTCGGAGCATTTTTTGTACGATTACGGAATTGATCGGTCGTTTAGTGGGCATGTGGATGCCTCGAAATACTGTCAATGCTAGACTCGAATTGCATTTATGGCAAACTGCAGGATTTCTATTGGTAACTGCATACTGTAGCAGTCTTGCAGCAAGACTTACAAATTCGGAATATGAAGACAGGTAACGACTATTTGTGTGTATGTGTGTGTGTGTGTGTGTGTGTGTGTATCTCTAAACTTTAGTATTATAATTTAATTAATTAATGAATATATAATCATTTGTCACCTACACTAACTTCTCTTTATTAAGGAGAATCTTTTTTCTTCTTATTAAAAAGAATCTCTTTTTGTTTATATTTAGAGTAAAAGATATCTAAATCGCGCATTATATTTATAGAATCGATACGATACGTCAATTTCTCGAGGCTGATTTATTATGGGGTCATAAAGGTCCAGTACCATTTTGGCCTGACTACCTTGACTTGGATGTAAGTAAAATTTATATTCATACAAACAGTCATTTTTCCTAATAACACGATAAACGTATATAATTTTAGGATATTTACGCGAGCCAGTTGTCGTCGAGATATATACCTGTGAAAGGTCAAGAGGCATACCTACATACATTAATCGAACAACGTAAATTTGCAATTTATGGGTTTGTTATAGACTCGATCTTCTTTCCTGAAGATGATATCTTCAACGAATATATTAAAGTAAGAAGCAAAAATACGTTTATTTAAAACATTAAAAATAATCAAAATGAACCGTAAACTGTGTTTGTAAGAATTATAGACTCATGAAAGAAAGCACGGGCAACTATTATTCGTCGTTTGTGGTCCAATCATGGCTGTTACAACCTATCGATATGGTAATATGACAATCATATTTAATTATTATCTTTATATCTCTTATTTGTAAAATATTGTAAAAATATACTGCTTATATAGCTAAATTTAAAATTATTTTCTTTATCAAAACATTTAAGATATTGATTTTATGAGATTAATATAAACATATTATATATTTAATGTTAACGATCACACAGACAGAGATTAATGTAAATATGTTAAGCAGTATGTAAAAAATTATAATGATTAGTAATTCGAAGTACAAATCAAATTATTAATAATCTTTTTATTTCAACAAATGAAATTTATGAAAAAAACTATAGTTTTTATCAGTGTAAATTAACTTTAAGTTCGATTTAACTTATTTTTATTCTTTTCTAATTATAAGAATTAGAGAAAGGTAAAGAGTAATTAAATCGAGATTAAAATTTAAATCTACGTTGATAGAAGTGGACATAGATATCATGTCAGCGGAACAACACTTTTCTTTTTATCTAAACATTTTCTTATTTTTTAGGTAATGCTTTGGTTAAGGGAGAGTGGTATCGCCCTCTTTCATCTTAATAATGTTATGCACCGAAGAATTAGTTTTAATCTTCGTGAAGTTGTCAAGGAGCATGATAGTCTTGATGGAATTTATAGACGCCTTGGGCTGACACCATTAGGTGTTGGATTTTTAGTGCTCATTGTTGGTCTACTAGCATCTACAATAATATTTTTCTATGAGTTGAAACAAGCATCTAATTCGCGATCGATTCGCGAGGTATTCCGAGATATCCAAAAGAAACGGCAAATATACAAATCACACTGAGAAAAAACGAAATAGTTGTAGCAATTATAAATTTGGCAACTTTTGCAATTGAAGTACCTGTAACTAGTTTTACAAAGTAATAGAAACTAAAGTAGTGCTGAATATTATAAAAATATAGTCACGGTAACAAATTGTATGCACTATTAATTGGTAGTGAAATAGTGACTCAACTACATTGAGTAGTTACTTGGACTTCATGCAAATAGATATAACAATTACATTTTTCTAGTTTAGACAAAAATTTTTAAAGTGTCGCTCAGTACGAGTAGTACGCGGCTTTGTCACCAGAGGGACGTAGATAAGTTCAGTTTCTCCTAAGAAGGAAACCACTCAGCTTACGATAAAAGGCGCAGCGTTGGTTTCAAACTTGGAAGACAAAAATAAATAAGAAATGCATACACAAATTTGTAACTATGTATTATAAAGCTTTAATAACAACAATAAGTAAATTAAGTGAACTAAGAAAATATAGTAATATTAACCATTTATAAATTGATTATATGGTTAATGTACTATATTTTCTTAGTTCACTTAATCTAATATTCTTATTAGAATTTAATAATATGTATATAGTTGAGGCGCTATTTCACTACAAATTTATAGTCACTGATACTTTTTTCTCTGAGTGCATCAGCTTATAAACGAATATATCGTAAAGGAGCTGAGCCAATAGATCGCAATTCAAGTAATGAAAATTTCGACTCATTTATAATTAAGTCTGTTGGTCATACAACAAGTATGGAATCTGCATGAAAATGTAATAATAAGAGTTTTCATAATAATTTAGGTAACATGTCCATATAAGTATTATTTATTTTTTTATTTCGTAAAATATTAAATTAATACTAAATTTATGTATGCGATTCTTACAAAAGAAGGACATTTGGGAACAATATATTAATATTGTACGTATGTTCAATAAAAAAAAAATTGTAACCTATTTCAAAATGCGTGTGTATAAATTTACTTAAATGCAGTATCACTTTTACACAAATCACTTTGAAACATGAAACTGGTTCAAAAGATAAAGTACTTACGCAATGAAATTACATAGAATCAATCTTTTTATGTAGAAGTAGTTGTTTACGTCAAAATTTTGTTCTTTTATTGAGATAAAAAATATCTGAACATATCCGACCTTTGAATATCTCTGACAACATATATACTTTTAATAAATATTTTTACATATCACTTGTAGATAGGTAGAACGGATTAAATTGAGTCGAAAAGTCCTTTACCATATTTTCGCGATTTTTTTTAATTATGAGCAGAATGTAAAAATTGACGCATCAAACAATTTTGAAATATCTTTAAGAGTTCTTCAAGAAACATCTTCAGGATAATTCGTAAAGAACTCTGAAAAAGATCTTGTTTTATACGTCGATTTTATCTACTTTTTCAGCAATCTTTAGAAATTAACATCTCGTTAACTATTGCGAAAATCGCAAAATTATAGAGGATTTTTTGACTCAGTTTAGTCCGAAAGCGTCCTACCTGTCCACAAGTGATATGTCAAAAAGTTTGGGACACCCTGTATATATATTATATTAACTCTGTCTTTCGCACAGCAACGTTTAATTATTTCATTGGAAACATTATTCATTTCAATTATACAGGGTGTTTCCAAATTAAATGGCAAAACTTCGGGAGCGTGTAGAGGAGTAAAAAACTAAGAAAAAAAGTCCTATAGACATATGCTCGTTTTTGCTCCGTTTCAGAGAAATCGAAAAAAAATGTTTACATTTCTTGCCATATCTAGCACCGACATATTTGATTACATTTTCCACTTTCTGTTATGAATTTGTCAGTCGCTCTTTGAAAGCCTTTAA